GGACAAATTATACTAACATCATTTATTATAGTTAAAGATGAAGATTGAAATTGATTCCTTTTCAGGTTCTAAAATCTACCCAGGTAGAGGTACTTTATTCGTCAGAGGTGACTCCAAGGTTTTCAGATTCCAATCCTCTAAGTCTGCTTCTTTATTCCACCAAAGAAAGAACCCAAGAAGAATCTCTTGGACCGTCTTATACAGAAGACACCACAAGAAGGGTATTTCTGAAGAAGCTGCCAAGAAGAGAACCAGAAAGACCATCAAGCACCAAAGAGCTATTGTCGGTGCTTCTTTAGAATTAATCAGAGAAAGAAGAAACCAAAAGCCAGCTGACAGAAAGGCTGCTAGAGAAGCTAAATTAGCTAAGGATAAGGAATCCAAGAAGGCTGCTAAGGCTGCTAGAAAGGCTGACAAGGCCAAGTTAGCTGCTTCTGGTGCTAACATTGTCTCCAAGCAACAATCCAAGGGTGCTTTCCAAAAAGTTCACGCTACCTCCCGTTAAGTTTTAGTTTAATGAAATATATATCGATCTTATCATTCTAATTAAATTTTGTATATTTATCTGTGTTTGGGGTTTAAATATTTTGTTATAAATTGAAACTTTACAAATTTGTATATTCTTTCAAGATATATAAAGCAACCGTAATATTAAAAAAAGAGAGAAAAACCTTATAAAGAGAGTCTATGATTGTATTCCCCGAATGTAAATCTACCTTGCCTCTCTGAATAACTTAAAACGACACGCGTAGAGTCATTGACGCGATATCCGAAATGAAATGATTCAGTTGTATGCCCATATAAGATCTGAATTTTTCCTGGGCTAGTTGTTGCAACAATAAATCCCCCATAAAATTTGTCAGAATGTTTATATACTATCTCTTGTAAGCATTTCCCATATTCATCAGACGGTATATTTCGTATCTTATTTGCGATCTCATGTGCAAGCATGGATTTTACAATCTGCTCTCCGTTTCCCGAACACATGCAACTTATTTCACAATCTTCATAATTTATCGAATCAATTGCGGCCCCAATTATTGCAGCACATCCAATTCTTCCCGGTAGCTTAAAGAAATTTCCTCCAGATGATGTGGCAATGGTAGTATTTCCATCGACGATTCTTATCAACCCGATAGTATCTGATATTATATGTTTCAACTCTTCAATCCGACCTTCAAATACTTTTTCTTTGTAAGCTTCATAAATCCTCTGTGATTTTTCTGAAATAAGATTGATTGAATCGTTTTGTTTCGGAAGAATCCCTTTCAAACTCGGATAACTTAACAGTACAGGTATTGATAATTCATGCTGATCGTTCTTATATATGTCTTCGATGAATGTAAAAGTATCAAAAAGGGTCAGAATAGGGTGCTTGGAATCGATTCCGCTCAAAGATCCAATCCTCCTCTTATTCTCAACTTTTGTATTAATAACAAAGCTGGCATCACATTCTACTTTTCCTAAGATATTCAATGATGATCCATATCCAGTATTTGTCAATGACGAGTCTTCCAAAATTTTACTTGCTTCAATGAGGTTATCTTGCTTCAATGACCTTCTTAGAAGTGATTTATATTGTGAGGAGAAATCTGAAGAATGATTTCCCGCTCCAAGGTGTATAATTAAGATGTCATTCATATGATAGAAAGTGAAGCTACATGGATCTGATTTTTTTGGGTCAAGCTCAATATTTTCAAAATGGTTTGGTGCTACCATGTGAAACTAGAATAAAACAGTTTGGATATTTTTCTTGGGGTATTTAGTTGCAAATTCGAACAATAGCAATTATCAAACATTCATTGTTTTAATATATACAGCTTCGTATTCAAGAATTCTTGAAAGTCTTGAGAACATGAACAAAGCTCAGCATGGTCGGCAAGACAACTCAAACTTTCCTTATGATTTTATCTATCTATAGGAATCAGAAGTACTGGAAAAGAGAATGTGGGAAAAACAGAATAGAGAGAACTAATGCTCACACAATGAGAATGTTCTGGTAAAGGCATTACCGTCATGTTCTTCCTCGTCTTGCATAAGCCATCGTTCGTACCTAAGTTGGCATCTTGTACCAGCCACCAATTTGAATGTTATTGGCCAAACCAACCCTTCCTTGAAATTCTTGATCTTCTCTTTCGAATCGTTAGGAAATAGGTAATCTAAGTCTTTGTCGTTCCACCATTCCAATTGGTGAGGAGGTACCCGATCAGTAGGGACTGCTCTTGGATTATGAGGGTCAACAATAAAGAAGCATAGAAACTTATCAGTCAATTCAAATGGATCAACATGATGTTGAAACATATTATGGAAAATCAAAAAACCTATTCTCTTTGGCTTCTACACTACCATTGTGTGGGGTCATATTCAATTTTCGCCGCTTTCTGCAAAAAGATTATGAACTTCCCTTGTACACTAAAGGGATACGATAAAAGGGATTAGATTTGACAAGCAAAGGTTCGGAAGAAATCAAATTATTGGAGAGAGTTGTTAAATCGTTTCATGCATCTAGAAAATGACACAAAACAGTGGTTCTGGGAAATTATGGAGAGAATTCTAACAAAGGATGATATCTGTGATTCTGCATCAAGATCCCTTCTCCAAACTAACTTAACAATCAGTTAGAAGGTGCAAAATTGGCCAGGATGGTTGAATATCAAAAATAATGCTTTTATTCTAGGAAGTCTCTTAGTAATCAAGCGATTGAGAAATTTACAGAAAAGTTGCGAAAGTTGTGATTTTCAAATTTTTTGCAACCATTCTTTAATCCAAGAAAGCATTTATCATTTTTTTTTAATTACAATATGTTATTTAGTTCTTGCAGACAAATATATAGAAAGATAGTGAGCAGACAGAATATACAGTAAAGACAAAAAGTAGCAGAGCCAAAAACCCTATATCAGCAAACCTTAAGGGCCAAATTCATATGAGGAATTTGTCAGAAACTAAAGAGTGGATGCTACCCATTTTAAAGTAGACCGTGAACCCTGTGTCCTCCCCCCTGCACGTCGGAACCTTTGAAACTAGTAAATAAGAAAAAGATTCCTATTTAAATTCATCAATTGTATTGGCTCGAGGGAAGAATTACATATAAATAAT